ACACACAACGTTCGCACCCGTGCGCCCGTGGATGGACGTGCCAGCCAGCACCGACGGCTCAGCGTTGAAGTCCGCTCCGACAAGGAACGGGGCGGGCAAGCTCTTGGCGCGGGCTGCTACACCCGCCAATATGTCCTGTTTCAAATCGTTCAGTCCAACACAGTCCTGCAGGTTGACACTGACGCGCGAAATGATGCATGACCTGGGAGGTGGACGAGGGCTCCGAGGGCCCTACGTGTCCGAAGCGCGGGTCCAAAATCGGAATGGCGCACACCCAGGAAGGACCGAGCCAGAACCCCGACCCCAGCCGAAGGGCCCCCTCCAGGGCCCACGGTCCCTGGCTCAAAACTGGCTTTCCACGCGTCTCGCACGCACCAAGCCGAAGCCTTCCTGAGCTCCTCAGCTGCGATCACCCTGTGCTCCTGCACAAGCACGACGTGCGCCGAGGTAACTCCCAAAACCTTGGGGATACTGTTCCGGCTCGTGCCATTGGCCGTCACGATCTCCAATTCGATTGATTCTGAGTTTCCAAAATCTCCGCGGTCCCGATGATGCACAGACGAGTTCCGTGGGGCATCCAAAACTGGGCAGGAGGCAGGGAGTCTAGGGTAAGAGGAGAGCGACTGCTCGGCCACAGCTGGGCTAGGAGTGAGAAGGCGCCGTGGGCGGCGCGGCCGCGGGCGCCTCGGGCGGCGCGGCCGCTGGGGCAGACTTGGTGGGCGCACGAGCTACAGCCTTCCTGGCCTGCTCTCGGACGTTACGAGCAGGCTTGGCAGGTGGTGCGGCGGCGGGAGCAGGCGTTGGCGGGGCGGCGTTGCCATCTCCTGTGGCAGCCGACGCTCCCGCTCCATCGGGGGGCGCATCAGCTCCAGGTCCAGGCTGGCGACGATCAGCTTCGGTCTCCCGCTTCTTCTCCAGCCTCTGCGTCTGCTCATGATGGCTCTTCTTGGGCTCGACACACTTGGCCTGAACTTCACCGAACAAAGTAGTAGTGAGGGAGGTGATATGCTCCGACAGCTGTTGCTTGCGGGACTCTGCTTCCTTGAGGTCTTGCCCAGAAAGCTCCTGTACTCTCCAAGGCCGAACATGTCGCCATCATCGCAGACGAATGAGGAGAGCTTGCCCCCGAGAATGTCCTGCAGACGCAGCACTGACGCGTCAGCTGCTACAGCAGCGGCCTGTCGAGGAGCATTTTGGGGCGGCGAAACTGAAAGGTGCAGCTCCGAGATGGCCGTCTTGTACTCAGCATCGCACCGCTCCAAATCCTGCAACGTGCTCTCAAGATCAGATCGCTGCTGAACCAGCTTCCGCTCGAGGTTGTGCATTTGTTCCAAACCGCGGTCCAGTTTCTTCTCCAAGCGCTGGATCTCCTCGTAAGCTGCATCTGCCCTCCTGCTGAGGGGGCAAAGGCGCCTGCTCCATCTGCGCCACCTTTTCCTGGGCCATAGTGAGGAACGAGGCGTCGCTGACCTTGGCGCTGAGCTCGACGAGCTGCTGGAGCTCACTCTCAGGGGCGACCTGGCAGGGGCTTACCTGAAACTGCATCTGCTGCGGTACGACGAACATCAGCAGCTGCAGCTCCACGTGGCAGTACACCACTGGCCGAGAGGTCACCAGAGACGGTTCCCTTCCAATGCTTACCACAATGTTTGCACCACTTGTATTGCCACGCTTTCTTGTACTGGCAATGTCCACAAGTCCAACGTTGAGACGAATAATTGTTACCTCTGCGAGACTTGTCACCAAAAACCATCGTGGTGTAATCGTGAAAAGGATGGGGTGCCTCCGAGCCACTCTGGCCCGCGAACACCCAGCCGCTCTGAAGATCGATGATCGCATGCACAAAACAAAATGTGTGTGCCAGAACGGCTCGTAGGCGACCCGAGGAGGAGGAGGAGGAGGAGGCGGAGGAGGAGGTGGAGGAGGGGAAGGGAGAGGAGGAAATGGAGGAGGAGGAGGAGGAGGAGGAGGCAGGAGGCAGGAGGAGGAGAAGGAGGAGGAGGTGGAGGAGGGGAAGGGAGAGGAGGATGAGGAGAAGTGGGAGGAGGAGGAGGAGGAGGAGGAGGACCGGTCGCCTAAGCCCTTCGGAGAAGCCCCCTAGTCCCGTCCTGGGCCCCACGGATCGGCGCACGCGCTCTCCCGGCAAGGCCACGAAGTCGCTTTTGCGCCATCGGCTGGGCAGGGGTCGTCCGCGCTGGCGGAAGGAGCTAGCTAAACGGGGGCGCCACGGGAGCGCATTGGCCAACATGCATCAGGAGGCAACTACTGTGAGGTTTTGTCGGGAAAATGAAGGAGGATTAAGCCCCATTTGGGAGGTGTTACGCCAGAATGGGCCTCGGACTAAGCAGGATTAAACCGGATTAAGCGGGATCAAGCCGGATTAAGCCGGATTAAGCCGGATTAAGCCGGATTTCGGACCAGGGCAAAGTCAGAATTTGTCCTCCCAGGAGTAGCATCCGAACATGCAGGAGCGGGAAGAGGGACAGAGCAGGCGGCCGCAGAGAGGGGGAGGCAGGCCACGAAATCACATGCACCGATCCTCTGGGCCAGCGGGTGGGCCCGGCCAGGGTCGGGGCGTGCGCAAAGGCACGGCTACTTCGTCGCCCGAGCCGGGCCTGGCATGCATCCCTGCCGGCCCAGCGAGCCAACGCCCTGCATGATCCACGCTTCGCCCTGCTGCAAACGCACCCTGTGGCCCCGATGCCTCGATGACTTCCTGGTCAGCAGGAGGGGGTCGTCGCCCCCTCGCAGCTCTCCAGGGAGCTGCGCCCGAAGGGGGGCTGCCGATCAAACGGCCACGCTTGCCGACCACGGGTGCTGCCGGAAGAGGCCCCGCTCCCTCTCGCCCACGCCGATGGCACGGGAGGCGAGAGCTCGGGTAAGGAAGCCAATGGCGCTCCTCCCAGCCACATGCGCCGCCGCCTGCCTTGGCTCCACTGTCGCTGCACATGTCGCGGGCCACGCCAGGCGCGGGGATAATACCGTCCTCAGACACCCGACGGCTCGACTGCGAAGGCATGACGGCTGGTGCCGCCGACCCTGAAGGGGGGGGACGGCGACAACGACGACGGCAACGACGACAGCAACGACGTCGACGACGACGACGATGACGACTACCACGACGACGGCTGCCGCGGTGGTGGCGGCAGCGACGAGGACGCCGACGACGACGACGACAGCGACGACGACGACGACGACGACGACGACGAGAAGGCGAGGACGCGAAAAACACAGAAAAACATATAGGAAATTAATGGTGTTTGCCTCTTGGCACCCTGTTGGGAGTCCTCTTGGAGCCCTTTGGGGCAATGTAGGTTTCTAATGCTCTCTTGAGGATATCTTGGGCTGTCTTGGAGCGATCTCGGGTTGTTTCAAGGCCATCTTGAAGAAAACAGCGGTATAAGTGAGCTTCGGAATCGAAGTAATCGACGAGGAAAGCTTCCCCCAGGGAGGGGTGCTCGACTCGCAACCCCCAGACCCCCGAGGAACCCCCCCCCTCATCCCCCACTGGCAGGGAAAGGGTCAAAGGCAAGGGGCTTCCATTCCACTAATTACGGCATTGCTCGATTTTTCTCTGGCTAGAGCGCTTGAGGAGGCGGGCCTGGGAAAAGGGACTGCGACGACTGCGGCGACGACGACGACGACGACGACTCAAACGGAAAAGCGTCAAGGGGGGGGGACTAAAACCGAAAAGCATCTCACACACGCCGACAAAGTCGGCGGACTTGCTCCGTACGGGCACCCCCAAAGTCCCGCCCCGTTCCCCGAGGTCGGTCTTGCATCCCGAGTCGTTGTGGGTGAGGGCCCCAGGGGCCGAGAACGGTCAAAAGCCTCCTGCCGTGACTTTGCACGACGCGGGCACGATCGCTCTTTTTCAAGTGTTCCTCGGCGCGAGCACGTCTGGTCGGGCGTTGATGGGACTGGGTATGGAGAGACCTGGTTTAGCGATGTGCACTGGGGGGCTATCCCCCGCCCCGAACTGCCGTCACCCGAAGAAGCAGCAGCTGCTGCAGACTTGGTTTAGTGTTTCTGGCCAGCTTGGGGCTCGGGGCCCTATCACCAACTGGCTCCCCTTACGGCAGGTTCGTGTCGTGCCGACTTCGGTGTTGGTTCCTGACACTACGGGGCCCTGGGGAACCTTCAACCTTGAACGATCGACCCTTTCCGAAACGTCAGGTCCTTCAACATCGGCCGTTTCTGGGTCGCCGGCGGCCTTCCACGTCGAACGCAGGCGGCGGGGTATCCGCCACGGCGGGAGCCTGCCGTCTTGGAATCCTGCCTCCCAAGGTTTCAAGCCATAACTCGGCTCTCCAGCGGCCGGTCGGGACGATCCATGGAAGAAGAGAAAGCGCCACAAACAGAAACTGTTAGCGATCCGCGTGGAATTCTTGGATATGCGCCGGAGCCCCCTCCGGGGGCGACGCCGGAGGCGCCGCCGGGGAGGCCCGGCGCGGATCCAAAGAACGCGAACAGTTGATGTTTCTAGCGTTCTGTCTTCTTCGAATACCTCGGATCGATCTCCAGCGGCCGTTCTGGACGATCCAGTCGGGGGCGCGCAAACGTGGATTAGCGATCCATGGATTCGGCGCGCGGTCGCCAAATCCATGGATCGGGGGAGGTGCCCGCCCCAAAATGCGGCCGGCGGGCGCGGCGCGGAGGAGACGGGCCGCCTCCCCCCCTGAGGGCGGCGCTGCCCCTCGAGGAGCAGGGGCGGTGGGACGGTGGGGGGGGGGGGAAGGATCACAAAGGAAGGAGGAGGAGGAGGAGCCCAGGAGGAGGAGGAGGAGGAGGAGGAGGAGGAGGAGGAGGAGGGGAGTCCAGGAGGAGTCAGGAGGAGTCCAGGAGGAGGGAGGAGGAGGAGGAGGTGGACGAGGAGAAGAAGGGGGGAGGGGGAGGGGAAGGAGGAGGAGGTGGGGGAGGTGGGGGAGGCAAAGAGGGGGGGGGGGGGGGGGGGGCAGACGCGGAGCGCGCCGCAGTGCCCGGCAAAGGGGCGGCCGCGCCTCGTGCAGAGCTTCCCCACCACCGCCCCCGCGGGGTCGGCGAAGAACAGCGGGGCCAACGCCCTCACGGGCAGCCGGAGGTAGAACCTCCGAGGCTCGCCGCAGGCCGCCGCCGCGGGTCGGCGGCCACCGCCGGCCGCCGCCGCTGGTGAGGCCGCCGCCGCCGCCGTCGTCCGTCGCCGTCGCCGTCGCCGCCGTCGCAGTCGCCGTCGCCGTCGCCGTCGCCGTCGCCGTCGCCGTCGCCGTCGCCGTCGCCGTCGCCGTCGTCGTCGTCGTCGTCGTCGTCGTCGTCGTCGTCGTCGTCGTCGTACCCGTCGGCGGCGGCGGCGGCGTCGGTGTGTCGGTGTCGTCGGTGTCGTCGGTGGTCCACGCCCATGGCGCCGTCGATCGCCGTCGGTCGTGATCAATGTCCTTACGATGGCTGCACGGGTTTTCCAAACGGCTCATTGGGCAATAGATCAGTGACGACATTATGGTTGACTCCCCCCCCTCCACCCACCCATCCACAACTCCCACCTTACTCGAAAGAGCAGCGAAGGCATTGTATGATCAGGTTGGTCATCATCAAACTCCTACTTTCGATGCCTTTGACGCAAACCATCCTGTCCACTCTTCCTACCCCTGTTTTCCGCATCATCATCCCATCTGGTGCTCACCACAAATTGAGCGGGAGCGTGGTAGATCAACAACCTCTTACTTCTGATATCCTTCATCCCTCCTCTTTTCCATGTCCTCCTCGTCCTTCGGAGGAGCCGCGAAGATATGCGGGTGACTACTTGATATACTTGGGTTAATCCTGAGTGTCGGTTTGACGTCTCCCATGCTCCTACACGTCGCTGGTCTAGACAACTCACCCTGGGATCGCGCCTGGATTGGCCCTTCTATTCCCCAATTCGTCCTACTCCTCCTGAAGCGCATCATCGATTACCCTTCGCATGCTAATCTTCCTCCTGTTCCCCCCTTCCCCTCCCCCTCATCCGATGCATCCTCCCATCTGGGACTGCCAGAAAGTGAGTCGGAACAAGTCCCGTGCAATCAGAAACACTCAGTTTGTGCTGCCATCCGTCAAGATGACCGTAAAAGGCCCCCAAGCTGTGTCAGAGAGGCCCAATGGTTGCATTGTATCAAGATTTCCAATTGTCCTAAACAGCGCCCATAGATTGCCCAAAGAAGTCGTCAAATGCTCCCAAATCGCAACATCCGCGACGGGATGTGCGGTCGATGTTTGGGCCTGCTCAGGCTGATCCCTGGCTTCGGTTTGACGACTGCTCCCTTTTTTCTTTCCCTGCATGCCCGTAAGTTTCAGTGTTCAAGGCAACTCGCCTGGATCGTTACTGGATGGGCGTGGATGGGGCACGCGATAGCCTGCAGGATGGCTCCGAAATTACCCCCACAGCCCGCCTAAGAGTGACACAACAATGAACGTAAACAAGATTTACGTCTCCTAAACTGACGCAAACTCCAAGATGATTCCAGGAGGCCTTCAATAATTTGTAAATTCAACATGGTTGATCCCTTCCTGTTAACGGGTTGCAGTGGATGCGGGGAACAAAAACAAGTTACATTGCTCCATCCATGGCTCGGGGGCCGACGGAATGGCGTAAACCTCTTGAATAAAGAATTCGTCCTCAACTCACCACCGAACGCGGCGGTAGAAGGACCGGGCGTTCCGTCTGATATTTCCGCAACGCCTATTAAGATGCATAAGCTTGAAGCAGGTGGAAGCTTCCAACAGATAGCTTGGTGGAGAGCGGGTGGTTTGCAAAATGCGGCCCCGCCTCAGCGCCGCCCACATGCGTCTTTGGGAAAACAGCAGCTGCACGGATGGGGAGCGAATGGTTGTGAAGAATATGCTCTCACCTCAGCGCCGCGCACACTCGCCTGGAAAGTGTCCAGCCGGTGCAAAGGTGGAGGGCGGCCCTGATACAGCAGTTGCCATGGCAGAGAGCCCAACCCATTCTACGGATGTGGAAACGACCGACAAAACCGCTCAGTGCACAAGAACTCGTTAGGGGCCCCGAATTGCCCCTGACAACATCACTAAAGAACGTCGAAACAGTCTCGGCACGCACTCACACGACTCACATTCCACGCGGCAAGTTAAATATGCACGCGGCGCGGAGCATGGGTACCGCTTTCGGTGGAGCTCCCTATAGGGCCACAAGCCATGTGAGGGGTGCGCCGACGTGGGCGTCGGCCGCATGCGGGCCCTGCCGCGGGGGTCCTCGGTGGAGTTCCCTTATGGGGCACGAGCCGCGTGATGGGTGTACGAATGTGGCCGCCGGGCGCATGCGGGCCCTGCCATTGAGGCCTTCGGTGGGGCTACCTATGGGGCCACAAGCCGTGTGAAGGGTGAGCCAAAATGGGCGTCGGGCGCCTGCCGCGGCGGCCTTCGCTGGAAATCCCGATGGTGCCACGAACGTTGTGAGATTGTGCCGACGTGTGCGCTGGGCACACGCGGACCCTGCCGCTGAAGCTTTCTACTGGGCCACGAACCGTGTGAGGGGTGTGCCGAGATGGGCGTCGGGCGCATGCGGGCCCTGCCATTGGGGCCTTCGGTGGAAGTCCCTATGGGGCCACGAACCGTGTGAGGGGCGCGCCGAAATGGCCGTCGGGCGCGTGCGGGCCCTGCCACTGGGCCCTTCGGTGGAGCTCCCTGCGAGGCTACGAACCTGGAAGGGGGTGCCGAAATGGCTGACGCGCGGAAGGCAGAGGCCAAGAGGGTGAGGAGGGGGAGGAGAAAGGAATGAGTGAGAAACGCGGGGCGTTGTCTCTTCAAAACGAGGACCCAACACCACAGGACGGTTGGGAAAAACTTAGCAATCGTGAGTCGACGACGCCATTTTCAAATGGAAGTCATCACCGCTGGCATTGCCGCTGTCGCCGCCTTGACCATCGTCGCCACTACGAGCAGCAACATCATATGATTCGTCATCCCCGACGCCGCCGTCGCCATCGTGGATATGTATGAAACTTGTTTGCGCGGCTATCAATTTGAGACTCGAGTGCAACGTGACGAGATACATGTTTTGGCACAGAGACACCACGCGCATGCCCTGTATCGATCCGGTGGCACGTACGAAACGCGCGCCCCCACCCCAACATCGAATCACAAAACAAGAAGACATGCAACCGACCAAAGAAACGCGAGCCAAAACCGTAAAACACATATCAGCCAGCGTTGGCCCCAAAACGATTAGACGACTCAAATCAAGGAATCAGAAGAATCGAGCATGCTTGAACCCGCAACGCAGCGAGCAAGCGAGCGTGCAAGCAATCGCGCAAGCAAGCAAGTAATCAAGCAAGCAAACAAGCAAGCAAGCAAGCGTGCACGCATGCAAGCAAGCAAGCAAGCGCGCAAGCAAACAAGCAAGCAAGCAAGCAGGAATAGGCATAGGCGTAGGCATAGGAGTTAGAGGGGGAAGGCATAGGCATAGGCGTAGGCGTAGACATAGGAATTAGGACGGGCATAGGAATTAGGCGGGGGCAACGGACCAATTAGTAAGATTTGAGCTAGGACTCCTATAGGGCAAGCCTATTTGGATAACGACACAACCAAAAAGACGCGTCCTGAAAAACGATTGATTCTAACCCAAGACGGCACAGCGTTGTTCCGCGATGAGACTTGGGACGGGAAGGTGTGGTGCAGCATTGCTGATAGATTACGTGTTTTCTGTCAGTCCTACTCCTCCTCCTCCTCCTAATCATCATCAGCATCACGTTCATCAACACAAACATTCCAACAATATTAACGTAACGACGTCTGGTTTCCTCTTACGTGTCCTCCATGGGTTCCTCCTTCTCCTCGGAAGCATCGTTATTATATTCTCTGTCCTCCTCCGCCTCCTCCTCCTTAGCATCCTCGGACCCGTCCTCTGCCACGCGTGGGCGGGGCAGCACCAGGCGCCCACGATGAGCAAATAAATCGTGATGCCTAGGCTGGCCGGCAGGAGACGACAGGGTTCGACAAACGAGAGGTCACAGAATGGAAGCGGGAAGACGAGACAAGAAGGGTGCAGGAGGCAGAAAGAGATAGCAGACTCAGGAGGAAACTCGTGATGATGACGAGATGGGGGGAACCCCTTGCATCAAAGCCCAAGCAACGCCCACGGTGTGGCAAGCACGGGGCCATGGGCAAAGACGCCACCACCGCTTCCCACAACATAGGGCCAACGTTGTCGGTGGAAGAGATATGTTCCGCTACGCGATGGCCCACCACCCGTGTAAAAAGGAAGGCGAATCGATTGCGGGGCGAACGCACCATACAACCATGTTCAACACCCCGCCTTCTCTCTGCATCGGAAGTTGACAAAGATGGGGAGCGGTCGACATGGTGCCCTAGTGCCGAGCCTGGCTCGCGCACGTGGCGCACCTGCCGCGCCTTGGGCACGCGTGGCACGATGGCGCACGTACCGCATGTATCCCTGTCCAGTTCCTCCGCCTATTCCTCCTCCCCCTCCTCCGCCTCCTCCTCCTCCTCGTCCATTCCTTCTCCTTATAGATAACTCCTCCCTGTCGCACCCCGAGGCCAGCTTTTAGGGCGGAGTGGGCGTTTCGCTTGAGACTTCCCAACCACGTATGACTCTGAAGCTTAAAAAGTGGCAACAGTTTGACAGATGGAAGGCGGGTGGTTTTCAAAGGTTAAACATTTGCATGAGTTTCACGGATTGAGGGCGGATGGTTTTCAAAATGTGGCTCTCGCCCATGCGCCGCGCCCACTCGTGTTAAACATTCGCAACAGCTTCACGGATTGAGGGCTGATGGTTTTCAAAATGTGGTTCTCGCCTTAGCGCCGCGCACACTAGTTCTAAACAATTGCAAGAGCTTCACGGATCGAGGGCGGTTCCTTTTCAAAATGTGGTTCTCGCCTTGGCGCCGCGCACATTCGTTTTAAATGTGCAAGAGCTTCACGGATTGAGGGCGGTTCCGTTTTCAACATGTGGCTCTCGCCTTAACGCCGCGCACATTCGTCTTTAAAATTTGCAAAAACTTCACTGATGCCCAGGATCAGCGCACCACAAATACTGTTGGAAGGATTCAGGATTATGCGGGCGCAACAGTTATGTTGATTCGCTGCGTCGAAGTCCCAAACATGGCGTCTTGACAGGATTCTGGATCCTCCAGACGCAAAAGTCAAGTTGATACGTGGCGTTGAAATACCGAGAACAATGTTTTGGCACGCTTAGGATCTTCAAACTGTTGTCTTCCAACGAGGCAGTTCCCCCAATGGAAATGAACCGTTGTACGGGCCTATGAAGACGGAGCTCGAAGGGAGGGTTAATTCCAACATCGTTGAAGACTCTCGGGTTTCCACTGGTCCTCCTCCTCCGCCTCTTCCTCCTCCTCTTCCTCCTCCTCCTCCTCCTCCTCCTCCTCCTCCTCCTCCCTTGCCGCGCGGACGAAGACGAGGTCGGAGAGAGCGCGTTTCACGGGCACGCGCTCTGCGAACATGCGGCGGCGCATGTCGAACCGGGCGGGGCCCCCCCCCCAACATTCGGCGCAGTCGATCAGAACCAGGGGGTTTCCGCTCCCCCCTAACCCCCCTCCTACACCCCCCCCCTTCCCTCTCCAGGGGGGGGGTTAAAACACCCCCCCGCACCGGCGCCGGCGCCAGCGGCGCTGGCGGCGGCCAGCAGCGCCGACGGCGGGGACGCAACGACGATGACCAGAGCAGGCCCAGGGGAGAGGTCCAAACACCCCCCTCTGGCGCCGGCTCCGGCGCCAGCGGCGGCCTGCACCACAAACGGCGGGGACGACGATGACCAGAGAGGGCCCAAAGGCCGCATAGGGGAAACGCAAATCGTCATATCGAACCCTCGCCCGCCAAAAGCCAACGAGAGACCACTAGGAAGGTCCAGGAGGATTCACACATGCTCCTCAGACGACCCCGAGACTCCGCTGACGAGACCTCAAAAGGCATCCATTTGAACTCTGACCCAAAGCCAAAACACGGTGGCGGGAAGACCCGAAGGCCACACCACCACTCCCACAAACCACCACTTCCACCACCACCCCCACCACCGCCACCACCACCATCACCACCACAACCACCACAACCCACCACCACCACAACCACCACCATCACCACAAACCACCATCACCACAACCCACCACACCACAACCACCAAAAACGCCACCACCACCACCACAACCCACCACAACCCACCACAACCACAACCACCACCATCACCATCACCACCGCAAACCACCACACCACAACCACCACCATCACCACAACCGCCACCACCACAACCACCACAACCCGCCAGCACCACCACCACAAACCACACCACCACCACCCACCACCGCAACCATCACCACCACCACCACCACCACCCACCGCCCAACACCACCACCAGCACCACCACCACCGGCAGCACCACAACCACCACCAACACCACAGCCCACCACCACCACCACCACCACCACAAACCACCACGCCACAACCACTACCACCACCCCCACCACCACAACCCACCACCACAACCCACCACCACCACAAACCACCACACGACCACCACCACCACAGCCACACCACCACCACAACCACAACAACCCACCACCACCACCACCGTCACAACAACCCACCACCACTACAGCGACCACCACTATCCACCACACCACCACCACCACCACCACCACCACCGCCACAACCACCACCACCACAACAAGGAACACAACCCACCACAACCACCACAAACCACCACACCAGCACCACCACCACCACCACCAACGCCACAACAACCACCCCACCACCGAAACCACCTACCACCACCACCACGACCACCACAAACCACCACACCTCCACAACCACCGTCGCCACCGCCTTCACCACCAGCACTACCTCCACAACCCACCACCACCGCCACCACTAGTACCACCACCACAACCCACCACCACCACCACCACCATCACAAATCACCACACCACCACCAGTTCCACCCACCACCACAACCACCACCACCACCACCACAACAAACCACCACGCTTCCACCACCACCACCACCATAACCACCACCACCATACCTATACGACCGCCCCGCGGGCGATGAGGAGGTTGGGAGGAGGATGGAGATCAAATGCCCACCCTGACTGACCTCCAGCCTGTCACCTTGATCTCATCTCTCTCTCTTTCTCTCTGTCCCTCTCTCTCTCTGTCTCCCTTTCTCTCTGTTTGGAAGGATTGGATTGGGTGGGATAAGATAAGATGGAACGAGATGGGTTGGATAAGATAAGATGTATTGGATCTGACAAGATGGATTGGATAAGATACGCTGGATTGGATAAGAAAGCCCGCCGCAGGCGCCGACAAAAATGAATTGATGGATTGGGTTGGGTGGATGGGATTTGATAGGATAAGAAGGATTGGATAAGATAGGATGGGTTGGGTTGGAAGAACTGGATTGGATAAGAAAAGATGGTTTTGATTGGCCCGCCGCAGGCGCAGAAACAAATGAATTGATGGATTGGGTTGGGTGGATTGGATTGGGTGGGATAAGATAAACTTGGACAACATGAGTTGGATAAGATAATATGGATTGGATTGGACAAGATGGATTGGATAAGATAAGCTGGATTGGATAAAAAGTCCCGCCGCAAGCGCCGGAAAAAAACATGAAATTAGCGACATGCCTTAGCGCCGGGACGCCCGAGACACCCGGGACACCCGGGACACCGCAAGGCCCAACTGGGACACCTCCCAGCCACAGGCGGACGGGAAACGGACTTTCCCTCCTACTTCGGCCTAGCTACAGGAGGATCACGCGCAGCTTCGCCTCGCCCGTACGCACGACACGAACACGAGACCGAAACCGATTTCCCGGTGGGGGGTTTCCGTTTCACTGCGATTTCACCCCCCAACCTCCGAACTACCACCACCAGCACCGCCACCACCACCACCACCACAACCCACCACCACCAAAACTACCACCACAACCAATACCAGAAACCACCACACCACAACCACCACCAACGCCACCACAACCACCACAACAACCACCACCACCACCACGACCACCGTCCACCACACCACCACCACCACCGCCACCGCCACCACTTCAACCACCAGAGCCCACCACCATCATCACCTCAGGGAGGCCCCAAGAGACGCTCAAGAGGCGCCCAGGAGGCTTCACAAATGCCCTTCAGGGGTCCCCGAAAGCCCTCCGACGGGTTCCCAAAAGGCATCCATGAGAACCCTGACCCAAAACCAAGGCACGGTGGCGGAGCGTCGTCGTCGTCGTCATCGTCGACGTTCCCCGCCGCCGCCAGCAGGCGCCGGCGCTGGCCCAGAAAAGAAAGTCGCCGTCTTCATCGACGCTCCCCTCGCCGCCGCCAGCCGCCGCCGACGCCGTCGCTGGCCCGAGGAGAGGGAGAGAGGAGAAGTAGGGGAGGAGGGGAGGGAGGAATGGGGGGGGTGTTTGACCCCCCCGCCCCTCCGTCACGGGAAAAGGGGGGGGGGATGGGAGGGACTCGAAAACCCCTCCCCCTTTAATCCGAGAGGGGGGGGGTCCCGTTCCAAACCCCCCCGCCCCTCCAAGCGCCCACAGAGCGCGCTCCTTCCGAGGCCGGAATCACGAGCCGCACCAATTCAAACTACTCGTCGGAACTGCCCTCGTCCTACACTCGGCCTCCTTCCTGCCGCGATAGATGTGTGTATATGTTTGTGGATGTGGGTGTGTGCGTGTGTGCGTGGGTGTGTGTGGGTGTGTATGTGTGTATGTGTGTGCGTGTGTGCGTGCGTGCGTGCGCGCGTGCGTCCGTGCGTGTATATATGTGTGTGTGTGTGCGTGTGTGATTGTGTCTGTGTGTGTTTGTGTTTGTGTTTGTGCTTGAGTTCGTGTTCGTGCGTGTTTGTGTGCGTGCCTGTGTGTGTCTGTGTGTGTGCGTGCGTGTTTGTACTTGTGTGCGTGTGCGTTTGCGTGTGCGTGCTTG